CTCTTTATATATATATATATATATATATATATATATATATATATATATATATATATATATATATATATATATATATATATATATATATATATATATATATACTCCGCGAGTTTCACGCTCAATGGCGATCCTCAGACGACGATGTTTAAATTAAGTCTCGATAGTATTATATATAGCTACGAGTATGAGTGTCTTTTGGTTCACTAAATGCCAAAAAGTGCTCGTGATCATATAGATATCGAAGAAGAATGATCAGATGGCTCTCTTTCATGCTTAATAAACAATAGCAATTAGTTTCGTTGGCGTCGTGACACTTTAATTATATAGACATATTTCAATTTTTAAGTGCATTTGTTATGGATATAACTACCTGTAAACGTGCATAGAAAAAAACACATTGACGTTAGTATAACGTCAGTTTGAAGAGATTCAGTTCGAAAATATTTTTTCATGCAGCCACATGTATATATATCCATCCATCATCATACAATTAAACAATATTTCGATCTATATAATAACTGCACATTTGAGATGTTTATTCAATTTTACTTTATATATAAGTATCGACGAAATAGAGTTCTTTTTTTAAGTGCCTATATGTTTTAATAATGATCTATGAATATTTATTTGCACACGTTAATTCCTCGTCAACTTGTCATAAAGTCTCGACACAGCGCAGTTAAAGGAATAGATAAAATTTGAAAATTTTCTGTGTGGCAGAAATTGAATAATATTGTGTGGCTTTTGATCATCGCGTATATATTCGGAAGTTTGTCGTGGAACAGAAGTGGGTGAGTGGAATGTTTCATAATAAAACAAACGATTTTAATTTGAGGTAACATGCACTCTTCAATTCAAGAGACATGTTTGGTTAACTGAAATGTTATCCCTACCAGCTTACATTTATTCCTAGACGTATCAAACATGTAAAGTATATAACAAATGATATAGTAGGCCAACAGTGTATATAGCCGTTCAAAATTGTATAAATTTACTGGGATTCCTTTTCTCAGAAAATAGGACTTTTTCAATAGTTCCGCACCGCAATCCCTTTTGGTTCCATCGAACCATGATCGAATAAAGATGATATCGAGACGTGAGTTATACTATGCATGAGTACACATGTAACACAGAGATCTGGTAAAATAACGTAACCTTGGTTCACCCTCTGAGAGCTTGCATGTATAACTCAATGGCTAGAGCGTCTGTCCGGTTATCAGAAGCTTACGTGGTTTGATTCCCGTCTGGGCTCGGACTTTTTTTGAGATATAAGCTTGATACGCACATATATTGTAGTTTTATCTCAAAAGGTTGCCGCAACAGCCTGTTTCATCCAAGAGAAATCATCGGGTGGCTCCTTATCATTCCTCATGGATGAAACCAGCTGTTGTGGCAACCTTTTGAGTTTTGAGATCTGCTCTATATCTTTATGATATCGAACACTCTTTAGCATTTCGTGAACCAAAATACACTCCGTACTAATATATGGTAATATATGTACTGTTAAATTTAGTTAGCACAACCTTTGTAGTTGTCTGAAGATTATCTGTAAACTCGGGCATGAAACTCTGAGTATATAACAACGTTTGTTTCGTACTTTATTTCATAAATAAATATGTATATAATGTGACCTACACTAGCTGGAACTGTAAACACTTGAGATGTTTCCTCATTTTTCAAGTATCGGCGAAAAAGCATTTATGTTTTTTAACTGCCCTTGCAGGTCATTTTGTTCGTGTTTTGATGATATATGAATATTTAAACTGAGCATTTGTCACGAAATCTTTACAACAGCGCAGATGGAGGGGGAAATGTTGTGTAGCTTCGTGTTTATCGCCAGTTTGGGAGTTTTTCTTGGAACAGGAGTGGGAGCATCGCGTAAGTATAGGACGTTCCATGATTTTACTTTTAATTTGAGACTGCAATTTGAGCCGACACTATTCCAATTCAAAACACATGCATGCATTGCATGTTTGAACAAATGGTGCATTATATTCTATAATATGTGCGTGTATGCATGGGTGTATACATGCACTGACAATAAAGTATAAAGAGGATATTACACGGCGGCGCGAAAGTGACTTTTATTTTCGAGTGGTGAAAAAATATTTTACGAACGAGCGCAGCGAGTGAGTAAATATTGTTTTTGACATGAGAAGAAAAAAGTCCTATCTTCAAGCCACCATGTTATGTTCTGTTTATTATATAGTCCCAAGCAAAAAATTGTGAAATTTCACGCTCAAAAGCAAATTGCATGGAAAAAGTCACGTGATCGATATATGGAAAAAGATATGAAAAATATCTCACTGCATGTGTATTTTTCAGTATCTCACTCTCTACTATATATAATAAATATATTTAGTATAATTACATAGGTGATTATTGAAAATTCTCCACGCTGATTGGTTGTCGTTGAGGTGATTATTACGCGATAATCACCTACGCGATTTTCAAAATGGCGGTCGAAGCCGTTTTGTGAATTAAATGACGAAGAAATGTGCATTTTAAAATTTGTTTCCAAATAATCACCTATGAAATTATACTAAAACTATTATTCACCTCAGGCTCGGTGATTATCGTGAATAAAAACCTCGACTTCGTCTCGGTTTTTATTCACCGATAATCACCTCGCCTTCGGCGAATAATTGTTAAATATTGTTTTTTAAAATAAGTTAATAGATGAAGCCGTGGGTGCCCCGTTTGACCTATATGCCCGGCAAACCGCGGGCTATTCTTTAA